TCCCCCCACCCCACGGGGAGAACCCGGCGCAGGAGGCGGCTGCGGAATGACAGAGGGAAATGCGAGGAGGGCAATTAATTAGAAATTAAACCCGATGCGAGACTTTGGCAGAGGAGACGGGCGGCGAAACACGAAAGAACGCGCCTGACCTTGAACCCGACCACCCCCCTCCTTGCGGCTCAGGGATGAGGAGAGTGTCAGGAGGGGGCCTGCTGTTAATTAGGGAGAGCTGTTCATTAGGGAGAGATGCTAATCAGCCTCCCTGGGGGTTAACCACTGCAATTAGGGAAGGTGCTAACCAGAGGTTCAGGGACTGGGGGTAGATGTGTCGAGGTGAGCCAGAGGGGGTGACAGGACCGGGAGGATGCCTCGGTGCATCTCTTGGATTTGAGCTAAAACCTGACAAGTCTGGGACTGGGCTTTAGATCCGTCTTCTCCACCCACCATTCCGGCGTGAAGTGGAATTAGTCAAGAAGCCAAAGCTTAATAAAATTCTCTGCTGCTTCACCTTTATTTGTATTTAATATAATTTTAAACCATTGTTTTCCTGCAAACCCACCGCCCAAGCCCTAAATCCTGCTCTTTCCACTTCTTGAATGGATGATGACCCTCCTTGGAGCTGGTTGGGAGGTGAAGGTAGAAAACTCCCCAACCCCAAAGGAGTATGAATTGCTGCATTTCTCCCGAGCAGCACAGAGCGCCGGCGTGAGCGTCCCCAGATCTTCCTCCACAGGAAGCGACGCTCTGTGGGAGACACGTAGGAGAACACTCGAAACAAGGAGCTCACGACCAAGTTTGCAGCTTGGGGTGCAGAGTCGTCGAATCTCTGAATCATTTGGGTTGGAAAAGACCTTTCAGATCATCAAGTCCGAGCATTCACCCGGCACTGCCAGGTCCACCTGAGCACCCATGTCCCTGAGCACCCCTGAGTCAACCCATGTCCCTGAGCACCACACCTACATGGCTTTTAAATCCCTTCAGGCATGGAGACTCCACCACTGCTCTGGGCAGCGTGTTTCTGGACTTGACAACCCTTTGGGTTAAGAAATTTGTCCTGGTGTTCAATCTAAACCTCCCTGGGAGCAACTTGAGGCTGTTTCCTCTTGTCCTATCACTTGTTCCTCGCTCCAACCTTCTTTCAAGGCGTTGTAGAGAGCAAGAAGTTCTCCCCTCAGCCTCCTCTTCTCCAGGCTGAACAACCTCAGCCACCCCTCATCATACTTGTTCTTCACGCCCTTCCCCAGCTTCGTTGCCCTTCTCTGGACCCTCTCCAGCACCTCAACATCCTTCTTGTTGTGAGGGGCCCAAAACTAAACACAGGGTTCAAGCTGCAGCCTCACCAGTGCCAAGTTCAGGCTTAACCGGTCTCATTTTGTATTTTAGTGGCAGTTGCCATTCCGAGCATTCTCATCTCTGTTGTTGTTGCTGCTACACATGATGAGCTCTTGGAGAATGTTCTGGCCAATGTTTTCACCCTGTGGTTCCTTTCCAGACCCTCAGGACTTGTACAGGTCACCTCCAGCAATGGAAGCACTGGGGAAAAGATTCAAAGCAAACGGTACTGGAGTCAAAAAGAGCTTCTTCAAAGGGTTTCAAGGCTGGAATCTCGATCTGTCATGAGGCAAAGACATCACGAGGGAACCTCTGAATTGGGTGTGATATGAAATCAGTCTGGTTCAGTCCTCCATCAGGTCTTCCATCTCAAACTCTGCAGTTCCTCATCTGTAGAAAACAGAAGATGGAAAAGCTGTTGCTGGCTTCTTCTAGGCTCAAACCATTCTATTTTCTATTTTCTAAGACCAGAAGAGGTGTAAGTCAACTTATGTTGCCTCTCAGACTTCTTCAAGCACTGGTAGCACGTTCTCCACCCACGAAGTGCAATACAGACACATTTCCTCATCTTAAATGACTTTTTTGCTTCTTTTCCTCCAAAATTTTGGCAATTCCACCCAGAAGATGGATGGAGAGAGGTTTCCTTTGCAGCATGCCATGGTGGTGGGGGTCTACTTTGAATTTGTGAAGGGCTTTGCGCATAAGCGCAGAGGACACAGTGCAGTGGTCCAGAACAAGACCTCGGAGAACGATGGTCGCTGAAATGGGTCGTAAAGACTAAAACTATTTTCAGGGAAAAAAGAAAAAAAAAAGGACTCCACAGAAGTTATTCTTGAGGTAAACAAATTTATCTCTCAAAAAAATTTATTAATTAAATTAATTTATCAAATAGAGGACACGGTGCAGCAGTCCAGAACAAGACCTTGGAGAACGATGGTCGCTGAAATGGGTCACAAAGACTAGAACTATTTTCAGGGAAAAAAGAAAAAAAAAGGACTCCACAGAAGTTATTCTTGAGGTAAACAAATTTATCTCACAAAAAAATTTATTAATTAAATTAATTTATCAAATTTATCAAAAATTATCAAATCGTGGAGTGGGACAGCTCCCTTCCCATGGGTGCTGCAAGTATTAGATAAAACATCTCCAGAAAAGGCTGGGGGAAAGGAAATATTTTCAGCTAAGGTATTGAACTATGTGTAATGCAAAACGTGATTGAGAGTGTACAATGCGAAGTGCAGTTAAGCTTTAAATTTCTCTAAGAAAACAACGCGATGTCACTACAAAATTACTGTATTTTAAAAAAAAAAGTATTATTCCTCTTTAACCGAAAAAATTCTCATGGCTGAACCTTCATGTGAGTTTTTAAAGAACGGATAAACCTCTTCTGAGAACGCAGTCTTTAAACGCGAATATCACGAATATGTCAGTGACATTGAAGAAAGTCAACATTTTCTCTTCGCAATTAAGGTAAACTCTGATTTTTCTGGGATTTTTCCGCACCACTAACTGTGTCCACAGGTCAATTCTTGCCCAGTAACATTCAGAACTCGAGCCCAGAGCCCAGAATCCTTATGTAGGTGACAGAGACATCTTTCCTCGCCTTGGAGTGGATTTTCTGGCTGCTCCCAGGTCCCAGTCATCACTTTTTTTCAACGTCCACCTCCCAGTAATGCTTCCCCGAGGAAAAACCTTCAAGCCCAGCACACAGATAGAGGAACCGAACCTCCTTTCTTTTCAAGTCACCTCCTGGAGTTGTGATTGATGCGTAAAACTCTTCTTGTCTGCAGCGAGAGACAAGTTTGGGTGGGCTGTGTCCTCGTCAACCTTGAGTCATCTACCCCAGACAGACGTTTGGGGCTTTCTAGACTCTCTAAACCACCTTATAAACACTTTCTAAACACTAAAACGCTTCATAAATAGCCTAAAATGCTTCATGAAGAGTCTAAAATGCTTCTGGAATAGTCTAAAATGCTTCAGGAATAATCTAAAATGCTTTATGAGTAGTCTAAAATGCTTCATGAATAGTGTGAAATGCTTCATAGCGTAAACCACTTCATGAATAGTTGAAAATGCTTCATAAATGGTCAAAAACTCTTCATAAATACCCTAAAACACTTTTTAAATACCTTAAAACACTTTATAAACACCTTAGAATGCTTTATAAGCACCTTAAAATGCTTTATAAACACCTTAAAATGCTTTACAAACACCTTAAAGCACTTTATAAACATCTTAAAATGTTTTATAAGCACTCTATAATCACTCTAAACCACGTTAGATATACTCTGAAACACTTTATAAAATACCTTAAAACCTTTTAAACACCCTGAAACACTTTATAAACATTTTACCGTCGCTCTAAACCCTTTATAAACACTCCAGAGCAAGGGAAGGAAACTCTCTCGCATTACATTTCATTCTGAAAAATCTCCTGACAGCTACTCTTGAAAGATCTCCAAGCCTGGAGCAAAGGAGGTTAAATTACACTTTGACTTCCAAATATTTGGCTGCCGAGAGGAATATCCCCACATCACGGGCGTAAATGGCACTTTCAGATTTTACAGCAAGTAAAAGCGTTATTTTACCTGCATTGCCGCGAGCCTTTGTGAGTTCTGAAAGCAAATAATGGGGAGGAAAAAAGGAAAAAGAAAGAAGGGGAAGGGGAAGGGGAAGGGGAAGGGA